GGCGCTTTTGCGGCGAGGGGCGCGGCGTCCTCTGCGCGCGCGGTGAAGGGCTCCTTCCCCCGGGTTTTCAGTTTATTTCTGGCGAATTAGTGGTTTATTTTTTTTCTCAGCTTTATTGAAAGATTTTATTCGCAGGCTTTGCCTGGGAAGGATTTAGCCAGACTGAAAAGTGACGATGTGCGGTAGGAAATCTGCCCCGCGTCCAAAATAGGCAAGGAGATGTCTGTTTCCAGGCCATCAGTGACTGCTGCCCGTGTTGACTAAATTATACCCAAGTACTAAAACCTCTTGAATTGACAATGCCACTGATGCTTTGTTGGTATTTTTTTACAGGGGACACCGCAAAAGGATATTATAATAAAACCCGATGCCCCAAACACATTACTTTGGGAGAAACATGCGGACTATATAGCTTCGTATGGAACAAAGAAGGATGATTATGTAGGTATCGATTTTTTCAGTACAGCTGTGGTTTCAGTAACAGTAATAATAACAATCCTAATTTGCTTGCTCAGAGCCAAGGGTTAGATGCATGCTCACAAGCTAATTGTTTCTTGCCCTGCAATCCAAAGTATAAAAGACCGATGTCTCTTAATTTCCCCAGGTCCGTGATGAGTTTTGGCATGTATTATCTGAGCATAAATTTGAAGATTATTGGTTTAGCTCTAGAATTACTCTGAGACCTGGGAAATTAACTACTTGATGCTTCTTCATCCACTAGAGTGCAGAAACAGCGTAGCTGCGTTTAGCATTGCTCTTTTGAAGGGACAGCATACAGAGTCTTGCCACAGCACTGCTTTGTGCTTACTTGGTTTGATAAACTAGCATCGGTTTTATAGTTGTAGGTTTTCAGGTGTAGCCCACAACAATAGGATTCCAGTTCCAGCAGGAGAAAAACATCAATAACCGCTTATGTCTGAAGAAAAGTTGCAGTTATCTTTACTGTCCACAGAAGAACTCTAAGCACTATTGCTTATAATTGTCGTTCTTGTCCTTAGAAAGTACTGCATGGAGAAAATAATGTTTATGGGTAGTGTAGGTAAGGTAATCAGTGTAAGAGAATTCAATATGAGATTCCACTTCCTAGTGCAGCTTTGGACTGTAGTAGTTTTGGCACGTGGAAGCAAGTTTCATTAAATGTTAGACTTGCTATTTTTGAGACTAGCTGGGGTAGTAATTTAAGTGGTAGCTTGGATGCCAAGATAGCAACCGATGATCTGAAGTGAACTGGTGCCTGACTACTTGTATGCGTTTAATTTGACGTTGAGCTTGATACTTCTGAACTAGAAAACACAGGGGAGGGAGTGTAGTGTGTGTACATATACACACACGCACGGGCCTGTATGTATGCACGTGTGTATACCCGCATGCATGATGTACAGATTATTTGTGAGTGGCTGATACCTAGTAAGTTGTTAATGGGATGGAAGATGATTGGCATGTTACAAACTGTTTGTAAATGTTAACTAATGTGGTCTCATTTCTCTATATTGATGATGTGCTTATCTGATTAAGAACTAAAATAATGCACTACTTAGGAATACTGTATGTCGGAGTATTTGAGGATGAATGGCATTTACTGGGGGCTGACAGCAATGGATCTCATGGGGCAGCTGCACCGAATGAACAAAGAAGAAATTCTGACGTTCATCAAATCATGTCAACATGAATGTGGTGGGATAAGTGCCAGCATAGGTCATGATCCTCATCTTCTGTATACCCTCAGTGCTGTCCAGGTAAATGTAACAGGGTAATTTAAAAAAAAAAAACATTTGTAATTAACGATTTTGATGATTGCAGATTTACAAACCAGGTACTGTTGGATGCCAATGACAAAACCTATTCCAGTACCTTATTAAAAAAATATATGTATCTGATAGACAAAACTTTAGGATTTAGCTGTATTACTTTCTAAAAAATTGTCAGATTTGGGAATGTTGTGCTTTTAATGATCATTTAATGGTGACTGCATTCTTGATGAATTTTGTAACAGTCATCTTGAAATACTTCTTAGCTACAGGCCTTATTGGAGTTTTTTGTAGACAATTTTGGATTTTATCAGTTCTTCTTAGTGTACATTGAGGTGAAAGATACATATGACCAGAAGAAGAGTAAAGTTTTGGGGGTTATTTTTTAGTGTATGTATTACTATAGATTATGTTTGCTATATAACATGTTAATAAATAATTATGTAATATTTATATAAATGATATGTAATATGTATAATTACATGTAGTGTGTTTACACTTCGGTACTGTGCAAAAGGAACGTTGTAGTAGCCAATTCTTGTTGTGTTCCTCAAATCTGCTTTTTTTTGCGTACAACTTAAAAATTATACCAGTCTGAGATTTTAATTTATTTGGTGTGTACTTTTCTCCTGAGAAAAATTAATTATCAATCTTATTTTTTTTCACCATAACTCTCTCCATTATAGATTTAATTTCTCATTATCTTGTGCCTTTTTTTTTTTTTTGGTTGTTTTTTTGTTGTTCTTGTCATGGAAACTGTTGTGGAAAAAAATACTGAAAAGGCTCAAATATTTCTGAACAATCACTTGCATAATTTGTCTCTAGTCCAATATTATGGAGAAATATTTAAATGATGTTAAATAATAAATAAGGTAGCATCATGCTTTGGGGAAAAAAATGTATTGGACTTAGGGTGTTGGATTGAAACTCTTAGGTAGGAAAGAAGAATGGTGTTTTCTTGGGTCAGTGATGACTGCTGGCATGTATTGTCTGCTCTAAAGTTGATATTTATCACTGCTTTAGCTCTAGAATTACTCTTGAGTACTCTGAGAACCAGGTAACTACAGTCTTTTTAGGCCATGGCATTTGAGTTTTTTCCAAACTGTCCAATTTAACTCCTTTCACAAAGGAGAAGGGGGTACAACTTGAGGTTGTTTACTTTTACATATTAGAGATGTTGGTTCTTAAATAAATACTTGATGTTACTAGGAGATATTTTCATGTTAACTGAATGCAGCTGTAGAGGTGTGAAGTTGAAAAGTGTTAGCAAATGCTGATGTACAATTTTTGGGGTAAACTTAACCAGCATGTCTTAATGAGCATGCATGTTCCTAGTGAACAAACACCGTTTAGTCCTGTCTGGATATCCAGAATATTTTAAAGGGTCATGCCACATCTTCCTTTGATCATAGTTAATAGTAATGTGTTCAGATTCGCTTTTTAAGGAGCATGCTGTGATTATGTATTTTCTGTTGGAATTATACATTCTTTTTTGCATTTCCATAAGACTTAAATGTTGTTTAACAGTTGACAGATTCCAGCTAACTCTAGGTGTTCAAAGTTGTAGTTGTTGGTATTATTCAGGATTGGCACTATAATATTGCTTACTGTCAACTGTTCTTTCTGTTATGCTATTTATAAAAAGTTCTTAATTACTTTTTACTGATTATGCAAGTTATGAGTAAAACACAAAGCCAGCTGGGGCTCAGAAACAGTGCTGCTCTTTTCACATGACATTGTGTCATATGGGTTTACAGTGCTAGCTCAGAAAACTTCGTATTGCCTGCTATGACCTTTATTTTCCTCCAGAATATATTGACTGTACGGTTTGTGTCTAATCATACTGTTCACACTTTTTCTTAAATTACTGCAATTTGGTTCTACTTGTTATATTTTAAAACTGAATGTAAATAACAATCTTGTCATTCAAAACTAGTCATTGCTGACAGGCTTGGATTGTGTAAATGGTATTAGTCACTAGCTGCTTAACTTACACATGTCCAAGTAGCAGCAGTGCACAAACTACAAATTTGTAAGTCTGGGATGTCATTATCCCATTACAAAACCAACCATGATCAAATCCCTGTTCTGCATAATGCTACCATAAAAACAAATAAACTTGGTTATGCTTTTGAAAGGAGAGCTGGTAGCTGGAACGTAACAAAGCATGGAAGGGGTCAGCTTGAATTTCCTCTATTTTCATTTGAGAATTTCTGAAAGATTTTAGATGGACATAGATGAACTGCAGTGAATGAAATTTTATTTACTGAATATTGAATATATTGAATGAAATATTATTCATAGTAGTATTCACAGTTGATTAAGTAAAGTCCTTTATCACTAGGAATTTTTTTTAAATAAATTTTTATAATTTTTGCCTCTCTGTAATTGTTGCTGTATTTATTTATTTTTTTCCAGATTCTTATCTTATACGATAGTCTCCATGTTGTTGATGTAAATAAAATTGTTGAATACATACAGAACTTGCAAAAAGAAGACGGATCATTTGCTGGAGACAAATGGGGTAATTTTTAGATCTTTAAAATTTGTTGACTAGCTTGACATGTATAGGTCTGAACTTATGTTTCCTTGGATGGTCTTTCTGCTTATGTATTGCATGTGAATGCTTTTATTTCCTGAATTATGAAAAAGGAGGGTTTGTGAAGGACGGAGTTGTGTTTCATTCCTTTCATAAATACTCTAAAACTTCAGTTCCATTCAGGCTCTGGAATGGGCTGCCCAGGGAGGTGGTAGAGTCCCCATCCCTGGAGGTACTTAAAAGACAGGTAGGTGAGATGCTTAGGGAAATGGTTTAGTGGTGGGATGGCAGTGTTAGTTTAACGGTTGGACGTGATGATCTTAAAGGTCCTTTCCAGCCTAGACGATTCTATGATTCTTGTATTAAAAATAAGTTGTCCAGTTCTTAAAGACGACCTTTGGCCATTTGTTAACTTGACAGTACTTTGATATACTAGATAATACTATTCCATAAGGACTGTTTTATGCTTGGTATTTTAATAGCAGCCAGTTATGATCTTGGTCTGTGTCAGCTGTGAAAGCATCTTTCACTATATGGGAATGAGAAAACCTGGTTTTGTACTCATGAACTTTTGCTAATGCTGATTTTGTTTCTGCACATAAGCTCTTTATGAACAAAGGTGGCATTTTTAAGCTGTAGCATAAATATTTAATCACTCTAAAAATACTTCTCCCCATGGAACACTTAAATTTTAACAAAATCTATTGCATATCACTCGTTATTGTTCTGGTAAAATTCAGCAATCGAGATCATGGCAGTATATGTATGCTATGGTAAAGGTAGCTCTTATGCTGTATGTTAAAATGTCTCATTGTTTGCTGCATCCTTTTTGTTAAAAGTATTGAAACAAACATACTGAATGCACAATGGACTGATGTTGTTTCTGAAAGGCAGTTACAGCATGACTGAGGGAGTGTGATACCTGATACAGTACAGAACAGCACGTGTTTGTCTTATGTGCTTCAGCTTGTGGATTTCTTAAGAAGAAAAGTCTTGCATCAGTTTGATCCAAAAAAATTAATGTTTGCAGCTGGGTTCAACTTTAAATTTTGACTTCAAGTATTAATTGCTCAGAGTTTTTGCTAGGAGAGTTATATTGGTATGGACTTGCCGAGCAATCATTTTATAGGTGTAGCATTCTTGATTTACCTTCCAGGTATAAGTATGCAAAAGAAAACTTGAAACTTTCATCAGTCTTCCCCTAAAACCAAAATTGGCTTCTACCTCTGCCCAGATTTAAGGCACCTTGAATTGTGTCTGAGTATTTCTGAGTCCACTGCTCTGCAGTTATCTAGTAGAGCACTACAAGATAAGCTCTAAAATTATATAGTTATTTGTAAATTACCACTAGTTGAATTGATTTGGAGCTCAAAATGAGTTGTTTGCTTTTATGTGCTGTAAACACACAGATCACTTGAATTGTAATTTGTACTTTCTACCATCCATGGGCTGGAAAAGGAAACAGTACAGGGCAGTTTTGGGCTGATTTTTGTTGTTCAATGTAAAACCTAGTACTTTAACATTTTGTTCTATATTTTCAGTGGTGATTTAAATGTATTTCTGTTGTTAATAAATATACTCTTATTTCATTCCCTATCCCCCACGTTCTAGGAGAAATAGATACAAGATTCTCCTTCTGTGCTGCAGCAACTCTTGCACTTCTGGTAAGTCCTAAACCATTACTTGCACAAGTACAGAATCTTCTCTTTGGTATTGCTGAAGTTTCTGTAGTTAATGAGCTTGGTAGAATATAAAATGCATTAGTTGCTTTTCTGACTTTCAGGGAAAGCTGGATGCTATTGATGTGGGGAAAGCAGTACAATTTGTTTTGTCCTGTATGAACTTTGATGGAGGATTTGGTTGTAGACCAGGTTCCGAATCACATGCAGGACAGGTGAGTTTTTATATGGAAACATTTTAAATTAGCAAGCATCACATACTGCCTATAAATGTTTCTTTACAATATCTATCAGTGATGTCAATTCATGTACTTTTCTTATTTTCCAAATGCCTGATTCCAGTGTCTTAGTTAAAATAGATGGACAAATAACATGAGATCCATGGGAACATTTATAATGTTTTGTTGTAGGCACTAAAGAGTGTTCCACTAGAGACAGTGAATTCTGAAAAATGCTCAGTAAAATGTAGTTGGAAAGAGAATGCAGTAGTATAACTGGAGCAAATTAAGGGATCCTTGAAGGAAGAGAATCTCAATGACTTCTTCCAGCAAAAAATTTACATTAAAACTACCTTTCCTATTTATATTATTTTCATGGAAGGGATTATTGCACTTAACCTGAATTTATGAATAGAAATCAACTTTTATTAAAATACTTCAATGCTGTTGCAATCGCCTATTTATTTTGCATAATTATGGTGAGCAATGCCATCACCAGGGTTCACCTCAGCACATGAAAACACTAGAGGTATTTTGTTGAGGAAAAAGTGTTGGGTTTTTTCTACTTCCCCCCCCTTTTTTTCCTAAATAGGGAAAAAATATTAAACCTGGCACATGTACCTTATCTTACAAGTTTTATCTACAGTAGTATTACCCATATGGTCCAAATGTCTGGACTATGTTCTAGTGTTCAAGGAAGTACGATTTGCAACTGGCATTTCCTGGGAGGATTAGATCTGTGGCACATATTCACGTACTCTTTAAAATGCTGTAAAGGGCAACTCCTTCACCTGCACAGTAGTTCAAAAGTTTTCTGGGAATATCACATTTATTTTGCAATATTCTTGGATAGGCACATCTCTGTTGATGTGTGCTTTTGTTGCGTTTTTTGTTGTCTTTTTTGGGGTGTGTTTTATTTGGAAAAGGCAATTATGAGCAGGCTTCAGCTGATACTGTGGTTTCTTGCAGTTTGTGCTTGGCTACTTACTTAGTGACTGCATTAAATGTGACTGGAGTATGCTGTTGCACTGAAAAAATAACCTGGGGTTAATCAATGTACATATATTACATGGCACATTGAAAGTAAGCCTGACATGACTAGATGTATGTGGGATTGCCAGGGTAGTTATCTGATCAGAGCTGACCTGTTTCTGCTAGAGAATTCGTTTGGTTTTTAGATTGCTGTCCACAAGCCTTACGGTAGGAGGCACATACAGGAACAAACCATAGGCTGGATGCAAAATTTTCATAAATGCCATATCCAGCCTGCAGAAATCAGTTTAAGTACTCTAGCTTGAGAGTCTGTGATTTTAAAATAAAGCTGTATGGCTCTGCCTGATCTCTAAGGATCTTTTTCCAAGCTTTGCATTAGTCTCTTACATTAGTAAAATCTTACTGTTCTTATACTTACATTGTGTAATTGGTACTTTTATACAAAAGCAACTGTAACAATAACGTAAGTTTCTAGTGGAAAAGTAAAACTCATTTGAAACTAAAAGTTGAAACGTGTGCTTATTTTGTATTGTGTTTGCATGACTTTATTCCTACTTTGAGCTCTTCCTACACTTAGTCTGCTAAACTATACTTAAATTTTTTGTGTATTTAAAAACTATGTCTGTAATTTTAGATCTATTGTTGCACAGGATTTCTGGCTATAACAGACCAGTTGCATCAAATAAATGTTGACTTGCTGGGTTGGTGGCTTTGTGAACGGCAGTTACCTTCTGGAGGTCTCAACGGACGACCAGAGAAGGTATGAGGTGGTTTCCTTTGTTTATTCAAACCTCAACAGAGATTATTGTTTCTGAAGCTGAAGTGCTTCTGGAAAATGTCATGACTTCTATGAAATATTTAGTGAACTTTTCAAAGAAGTCAAGCCTTCTTTTTGATTCTTCGTTTTTGTCACTAACATTTGTCATGCAGTCCTTAGCTATGCTTAGTTTGAATCCTCAGCTTAGGAAAGTACACATACTGAAGTATACTTGAACCAGTATCCTGTTAAATCAGGGCTTGAATATTTTCTGACATTGGGAGTAATCTCTTCTGTAGGATTTGTACAAAAATTACTGCTTTACCCCATGGAAATACTGGGTGTAATAGTGTTCCACATCACACAAGGAAATTGTGTAACCTAGAATAATCTCCACTGGCAAACAGATAACCAACCAACAGACAGGTTTTTTGTTGGTTTTTTGTTTTGTTTTTTTTTAAGAAAAAAAGAAACTAGTTGATATGAAGTTCTTTGTACTTACTCCTGAAAAAGGCACTGTGGTTTTTGGGGGGTTTTTTTGTAGCCTTTCCTACAGAAGGTGAAGGCTGTTTCAAAATCACTATTGTAGGTTTTCTTTTTGAAAAAGGGAAGAGGTTTGAAAAAGACTTTCCCCTCCTGAAAAAAGTGCTCTGAAAAGATTCTTTTGGGTAAAAGAGAAGAAAGTAACTCTTTAAGTGTTGTTTCTCTGCAACAGTATTATGACAGCATACCTAGTAATTTGCAGAATCACCAATAAGATTTGCAACATCATGTTTGAAACAAAATTAAATAATAATCTGCTTCTCTGCTTGCCAGTTACCTGATGTATGTTACTCATGGTGGGTGCTAGCATCTTTGAAGATGATTGGTAAATTACATTGGATTGACAGAGAGAAACTGCGCTGCTTTATTTTGGCTTGCCAAGATGAGGAGACTGGAGGATTTGCTGACAGACCAGGAGATATGGTAAATAATCCTTTACTAAATAAAGTATACTCAATTGAAAATTTCAACTGAAAAAGTAAGTTTTCTCATTTGTAACTCAACTCATGATGCAGGTCTAAGTGTTTTGCAGAGCCTGCTGTTTACTTTGAAGGAAAGAGTAGGGTAGAGTTGCTTTTGAAGGCTTGCTTGGGGAGCACATCTTTTATATTGCACTTGTACTGTAGTATCCCCCACTGAAGACAGTTGCCATTCCTTACAAATTCTGGTTTGGTTCCCATAACAAATACCGCACAAGTGGTTTCTCACGAGACCACTTGAAAGATCTCTCTGAAAATACTGTGTTTGGTTGTGGGGTTTTTGGGATGTGTGGTTTTTTGTGGGGTTGGGTTTGGTTTGTAAAATGATATGCAAGCTGGAGTCCAGTGCAGGTAAAGTAGTCTTCAGCTCTCTTAGTAGCTTTGCCTGATCTAAATGACACTCTTAAGTTTGTGTAAGAATCCTTATATGCTAACTCTTGTTCTGTGCCAGCCTAGCCACTAAATAAATCCTCCCACTGGCATTTGTCTAGCCTAGGGAGGAAGAAGCTTTTGTGATAACATTATGAAGAGGCTGGTGGTATGGATTTTCTGCATGGTTGAGAGGACAGTTGTGGTTTAGCTGGTCTGGTCTCTCTGGTTTCAAGCAGAAATAATTGAGATTGTACAGGTAAAACTGCAAATAGAGTTCATATTTTTCAAGGGTGCTGGACATATAAAAGTCTTACGAGACGTCAGTGCAATTTCCATGTTCCTTGGCTGCTTATTTGTCAACGGTCAGGGGGAAGTCTTAGCTGTTTTTGTTAGAGCTGACCATGGCTTCTCCTTTCTCCACAAATGCATTAAACACTGAAGTAGCTTTCTATTTCTTTGCAAGCTGATATATTCTTCCCACTTGGGGGTGGGGGGGAGAAATATCTTTGGTCTGTCATTTGGAAAGTGTTTTGGTGTTCTTAAAATGGGAAGGTTTTTGTATTTCTAAGGAGCTCACAGAAAGACTTTTTCAGAATTCTCCAAGAAAAGGCTAACACTTAAAGTCTTAATGCTTTTCTGGCTTCAAGATTAAACTTGAGCTATTTCTGTTTTGCCAGAAGAGCAACTTTGCAGAGCCTTTCCTCTATATCCAAAGCAGGCACCTTTGGGAGAGTTTTTGCGTGTTATGTCAGCAGTCATTTCATATTATTTTTACCTGTCATGTTATTGAGGTGGGCACTGCTATAGAAATGTTGACACCTACAGGTTTTTGTTCCTGCAGAAACTCATTCCTAATAGCCCCTGTTGCTTTTTGGCTTTTTTTTTTTTTTTTTTTTTTTTGGGGGGGGGGGGGGGGGGTTTTTTTTTTTGTT